TGCCTTAATTCTGACCTGCAGCCAAGTTCTGATGGGTGACCCAATGACACCTATCGGGAAGCCCAGGCTATAACTGAACATTGACCTGTCAGATGGACTTGGTATTCAGACAGAGTAGATCTATCTTCTCAACAGACTTCCAGAGTTATTCTGCCTAGACTTGTTTTATGAATTCAGCTCTCAAATAGATAGTTTGTACTGTTAGACTATCCTATGTCCTAGAATGACCATTTCCAATATTCTTCTCTTCTGAGAACGCCACATCCCTTCCCAGACTTGAGCAATGATCCTGTCTCCTGTTTCGCAGTGAAAATAGATTACTTGGCAAGGATGGCCTCTCTCTTTCATTCTAGTCATCAGCCATCAGACCCCACACTTGATACACTTGCTTCTCCCATGGATGGAAGAACCATCCATGAACTGCTTCCAGGTTAACTTACCTTTTCACTTCACCCTGACCCCAGTCCTTCCCACTACCTCCTGGCTGTTCTCCTATATTACCTTTTCTCACTTCATGTTCATCTCTCCCTTTATTTAGCTATCCCCACCAGCACACCAATCTATCTTAATATGATCATTTCACCACAATCTGCTCAAGTTCTCTACTTGTTCAAAGCAAGGATGTCTTGAAAGAGTTGTCCATACTGAAGTCTCTGGTTCATCACTTCCTTTCTTTTCTAATCCCATTTTCGTGACTTGTGCATGTCCACCCTTGCAATGACTGATTCAAGTCAGGAATGTCTGACATCTCACCAAAGCCAAAGACCTTGTTTTCCTCAGCCTCTCAGTGGTATTCCGCAGGACTGATAACTTCTTTGGGGAAAATTCCTCTTGACATCCACAAGATCACATGTATGGACTTTTCCTTTTATCTTTCCCTCTTCCCCTTTGTCTTCTTGTTGGCTCCCCCTTGGCCTGATCTCCACAGGCCCTTGTTGGGCCATCCCCTGGTCTATACTCTCTTACCCAAGCAAACTCACCCAACCTTAAGATGTCAAAGAACAATTTAAATGCTTAATACTCTCAAGTTTACATTTCCAGTCTTGAACTTGTCTGTTTAAGCCTCAGGGGATTATATCAAAGACGTACATGGGCATTGCCACTTAGATAAAGAGTCTCAAACCAAATTGTATCTTTTCCCTGTCAAATCTACCCTTGCTCCATTTCAAAAAAATGGCATCGTTTTCTCACCAGTAACTCAGCCCCCATTGATGGAATCATTCTGGACTCCTTTCTTTCCTTTAGACTTAGGGCTGCTATACCAAATTGTAGAATTAAGTTTTTGTAAGCAGCTGATTAGTATCTCTTGGTCACTGCTGTCCTAAGGGTTTGGGGAAATTGTTCTAAGGAAGAGACCCTTGAGTTGGGACATGTACAACAAAGAAAACAGTTATCTGAGAAAGAGTGTTTCCAGCAGAAGGAAAGAATAGAAAGGCTGAGAAAAACCAGAATGGCTAAGGGACATGAGTGACCTCAGGGTCTCCACCAAATGTGTCTGATAGTGGAGTGAACAAATGACATTGAGTTCTGCAACCGTGATGGAGAACTGAGGGACTTGGGTACTTTTGTAGGTATCAATTCCTTCAGACATTAACTAGAAGTTTGTCACCATGTGGAGAGGATAAAGTGGTAAAATATTGTGTGTTCTCTGGGTCCTGTGTTTGGCGCTGTCAGCTTTGCCCAGCAGCAAACCTATCAGAAAGCAGATAGCTCCTGCACTGAAAGCACCCTGGAATCCGCAGACTTGGTGTTGGTTTGGCAGTGGTTCTCAGCCACTGGGAGTTTCTCTAAAGAGAATAGGGGCACAAACCATTAGTCCCTTCATTGCTTATGATTCTAAATGCTGCCTTAATTTATCAGCTTGCTTGTATTGAAGCCCCTCCTACTTTCCAACTACTTTCTTGTGACTTTCTTCCTATAAGCCTTGAGGCTGGGCATTACAGGATTCCTTGGGTTGTGTTTGTCCTTGGTTTTTACACACACACAGACACACACACACACACACACACACACACCTGGATGCAGGCTGCATGCAAGGAGCGGATCACTCTGGAAGCAGCTTTAATCTGATAGTTAAAAGTCATACATGAGTGCAGAGCAATAGAAAGTCCCTTCTATTTGCTTACCTGTCTTTCAAAATAAACACATGCACAGCAGGACCAGTGGAGGTAGATGCTTTTTCTGAGATACATTTGAAAAGCTCGCAGTTCTCCTGCTCTGCGTCTCTCCTTTCACATTTCCTATTGGTCTCCATCTTTCTTTTCCTACCTTGCTCCTACCTCACCCTTCGGTTGTCACTAATCAGCTATCTTATACTTGGATATATGGGGAGATTGTTCTGCCTTATCCATTTAAGTGTTTCAAGAACTCTCAACCTCACCCTTCAGCAAAAATTCTGTCTTCTTACTCAATCTGCTCTCATTTCAGTTACCTCTCCTGTGCTTAGATCATGCTCCCTTGCAGGATGCTTTCTCCATTTCCCATCTCCTTCATTTATATTTCCATGGGACATAACATAAATGTTCTCATGGTCTTTGAAGATTGATAACTAGTCTAGGTGCGATTTTTATTTTATTTTCCTGCTGGGGATTCACTATGATTCTTGAACCTGAAGATCAATGTCTTCCATGAGGTCCTGAAAATGCTTTCTCTATATGGCTTCTCTGTTTTATTTTTCCCTTAAAAATCTTTTGGACATCTTACACATTGAAATTTCTAAGACTTTCCTCTTTATCTTTTTAATATAGAGGGCAAAGTATCTTTTCCTCTTCTTTTTTGTCTCCCATCTCTTTTAGCTCTCTGTACTTTATTTAGGGTTAATTTTCTCAGATCCATTTTCCAGCATGTTTCCTGTTGACTCTTTATTTAGCTAGGTTTAGTCTGTGTTTACTTATCTGTTGGATCTTGAACTCAGCTTTAAAACTTTTAAAGCTGGTAATAATAGCAATTAAGAAGTTGCATGTACTTCTTGAACAAAGTTCTGAAGTGTTTTTAATTCTTTTGTCATGTTTCCAATTCCCACTTGTGTATTTTTGGTCTTTGTAAGTATCCTCATTTTAGGCTTTTCAAACAGGAGTTTTTTCAAATACTGCAAGTATTTAAAAAATATTTGGATGAATGGAGTTGAGGCATGGCTCAAGCAATAGTGGCTTCCTAATTGCTGTATTTACTCATCCTAGTTCATAGCAAATGGTTTGGATGCTTTACAATTGGGATTATGAGTTTTTCTTTAAGGGCTTTGCTCATGTTCATCTAGTACAGGCTATGACTGAGTGTGTGTTCCTCCAGGACATGTCTTCCTGGAGTCATTGCTAGCCTGGGTCATCTTTGTTTTAGCCATTCATCTAGGTGGGCAACGCATACCATAATGATTCAGTCTGATCTTCAGTCTACAAGGCGGGCCTGCAGTTATTTTCAGGGTATTTTCCCCCCACAGCCCTTAATGTGATCCAGGATGAGGCAAGGTTTTATTTATTTTTTTCTTTCAGGAATAAGTATGCTGAAGACTGACCCTAGAGCCTTGTATCTGATAGGCAAAATAGGCTCTCCCACTGATCTATATCCCCACCCCCAGACAATTTTTTAAATTATCTCCTTTCTCCTATACTCCATTCTTTCTCAGTAGGTGAGTTTTAAAGTGTTCTAGCTTTAGATAGGAATCTCTGTTCCCATTATGCTGCTTACTCTTTATGAAGTCTTGTTGCTTCTTCCCTAACCACATAAATGTGATCTTCTGAATCTCATGTGACTATGTCTGGCAAGTTTTCCTCCCCATTTGGGGCAGTAGCTTCCATCCAGATGATTCTGGTTTCCAAATCATCCTGTGTGTTGACCCTGGACAGTTCCTTACTCTCATGAACTCAGCTAAACATTTAGGGCAACGTTTGGTACCTTTTACTCACAATTTCCAAGCTTTTGGTAAAAAAAATCAATATATTTAGTCTGCCAAGAGTATATCATCACCATCTTGACAGAATTTAAATGTCTACTAGTGGGTGGAAGATGCCTGTCAACATTTAAAGGGAAGGAGGGGGCTCTGCCCTTTCTTAACTGATAGATTTTCTTCTAACTCACTCTGAAGTTCTGAGGACTGCTCTTTCAGCCATTCACTCAATCCTTGCATTCACATTTCATTCAATAAATATTTAGCAAGATTCCACTCTCTAGACATTCATTCATTTAAAAACATGTATGGTGTATGACAAAAAACATGTATGACATCTAATGTAAGACAGGTGCTCTGGCTCAACAGAGAGAGACAGAAATATTGATAAAATATTGATTTAATTTCCCAGAGTGGGAAAACAGTGATTTGTGCCCAAGCAGTCTTGCGTGTTTATCACTTAATTGACAAATAATTGTGTGCATTCTATATTTACGGGGTATAAGATTATATGTTTCCATTGTGTAGTAACTTAATCAAAGTCTTCAACAGAATCTATCACCTCACAAACTTACTACTTTTTTGTGTTTCAAACATTTGAAATCTACACCTTTAGCGATAGTGAAATATACATTCATAAAACATGCTATGCTGCTTATCAATATATGGATGCACAATAAGGTACTTATATCATCTGTAAGTCAAGATATGAGCTTATCCACCTAAAAGATGCAAAATGCCATTAGTTGTATAATCTGTTTGAGGCAAATGCATAAATTAATGCTGGCTGAAATACTTGGCTAAAATTCCTTTTTGGCTTGTATCATAGAAAAGGACAGGCATAAATGGAAGTGTCATTAGAGCAGCATTAGCTTTCATTAGTGGCCTTTAATAAATATGTGCACATTATGAATGTAATTATACCTGTAAGGATGACATGGACTTGCAGTGAGAGTATAATAAGTAAGCAGAATTCACCAGGCTGAAGCCTCTTGCATCTCCCTGCCAAGATATATCATTTGTGAGTTTCATTACCCAATGTCCTAAAATAAGTGACCTTTTCCAAGTCCCTGGGGATTGGCTTCAACTACAGTATGTTTTTCCCTTTCCTTCTCAGGATTTAACAACACAGAGAGAACATGTGACAAAGAGTTTATCATCCGGAGAACAGCCACCAACCGAGTCCTGAACGTTCTCCGTCACTGGGTCTCAAAGCATGCACAGGTAATTCAGTAATTCTTTTCAGAGAGTGTACCTTTAACTTCTTAATCTAGTCTCTTGATTCTTTGCAGTTAGAGGTTCAATCCTGGAATTGGAAGCTGGGAAGGGAAGAACGGGACAGACATGTAGCTCAAAGCGACTAAGCATGTCACTGACACCTGCTGTTTCCCAGGACATGACATTCCATGTCATGGTGAACCAGTAATACTCTCCCCGCTCATCTCCCAGGGAGCACCACCTGCCAAGCTACAGTGATAGCAGAGCCACTATTGTCTCACACTAGGGACCGCTTTTCCAAGGTCATCTCTGTAAGTGAAGTTGTGCTACAGAGGATCTCCAGCTCCACTGGCACCCTTATTCTCCCAGGTGAACATCACAGAATTTTCTGGGAGGTGAACACTACTTGGGGCCCACAGATAATCAAGCATCTGGTCCAGAAGTGTTTTCTAGACCTTTCTAGACATACTTTCCTGCCTGGGCTGGCTTTGAACCATGATTCTCAGTTCTCAGCCTCCTGAGTAGCTTGAATACAGGCATGAACCACCTGTGCCTGGCTGAGAACTACTCTTTTTAATAAACTAAGGGTTATTACTGAGATATTAGTCATATAGGATCCATTTTTATTTATTTGTGAAGTGTAATGGAATTTTTACATCTTTTAATAGACTGTATAATTTTCATTTTTTATTTTTATTTTGTTTCATGTTACTTTTTAAATTCTTTTATTATATTGTTATTATAGAGATGATGTACAGAGAGATTAGTTATGTAAGTCAGGCAGTGAGTACATTTCTTTTTGAACAGTGTCACCTCTTCCCTTGTTTTCTCCCAGTTTTTATCTCCTGATCCTCCTTTTACTTTTACTTTTAAAACTTTTTTAAATTCCATGTTACTGTTGGTAAGGCTTGAATCTCACTTTTCTCATTGTGAATTCTGTCTCCAATAAGAATTTCAAGGGTGTGACCCATGTGGTGATGTTATGGACTGGGCTGCCGTTACCAAGGATCATATAGCAGACCTGTGAAGGCCTCTGAGAATATAATAAATGCAGACTAGGGAACTCTGTTCCTTGATCTCTTATAATGTGTGATTTTTATTGTAAAAATTCTGTGCAGAGGGGTTACAGTTACATGAGCAAGGTAATGAGTACATTGCCTATCGAGCATTGTTGCCTCCACCTTTGTTTTTCCCCTTCCATCCCTTCCCTTCCCCCCTCTACAACACCCCTCCCCCCCACCGCCCAAATTGTAAAGTTCGTTTTCAACTTAGTGTCTTGTACATCATTGTTACAATGGCTCAACCTGTGTCTCTATTTAAGCATTTTGTTTTTTTCCCTTCCCCTCCCCAAATTAGAGAAATGTGTACATAAGATGCAGGGGGAAAAAAAAGATGCAGGGCACTGAAATCAAATGCAGTGAAAATAGCTGTTATATGGTGGGGGAGGAACACACCAAAGAAACAAGAAAACACATAGCACATTATAAATACGTTAAAAACAATAGCAAGAAAGAAAAAACCACTGTGAACCTATCTTGGGGGTCATTTTGCTTAACATCATCTTATATGGTCATATGTACATAGCTTTTGACCTTTTCTGCTTGTCCTAGATGTTTACTAGTTATTACAAATAAGGGAAACCATAGGACCTATGTTCCTTTGGGCCTGGCTTACTTCACTTAATATAATTTTTTCCAAGTCTTTCCATTTCCTAACAAATGGGGCAATGTCATTCTTTCTGATGGAGGCATAGAAGTCCATTGTATGTACATATATATATATATACACCACATTTTCTCTATCTATTCATCTACTGAGGGGCATCTTGGTTGGTTCCATATCTTAGCTATGGTAAATAATGCTGCAATAAACATAGTTGTGCTGGTAGCCTTAGTATGGTCTTGTTTGTGATCGTTTGGGTTAATTGCCCAAAAGTAGGATTGCTGGATCATAGGGGAACTCTATGCGGAGTCTTTTGAGGAACCTCCATACTGCTTTCCAAAGTGGTTGAACAAATTTACACTCCCACCAACAACGCATAGGGTTGCCTTCTGGCCACATCCCCTCCAGCATCTGTTGTTATTAGATTCTTGATTATAGCCATTCTAACTGGAGTGAGGTAGAATCTCAATGTTGTTTGATTTGCATTTCTTTTATTCTCTCCCCAACTTTTGATGCAAAGTTCTAGCCAGCCTTGCATTCAGGAGGACCTGTCATTAGATAACGAATGCACTAGGCCTGTCCAGAGCTAATAAGATAAAGAGGGAGTTTACTATTTTGCAAAATGTTGTAAACTCTACAAACTTGTACTTAAAGTAATAGATGGCCTGTGGGTATGATCTATTTAAAAAAGAGTACAATTAAACACCAGAAAACCAGAAGTGGCACTGTGGCTCAAGTAGTAGAGCCTTGAGCTGAGTAGCTCAGGGACAGAGCCCAGGCCCAAAGATCAAGACCCACAACTGACAAAAAATAAAAAGCTTTTACATCGACAAAAGTCCCATTGCGAGGTGTGTGTGTAGCAAGGATCTCTATCTGGGGGAAGTCTGTGAATGCTGGAGGGAGAGCAGAAGGTTGTATGGAGGCAAGAATAATCTAGCTGAAATCTCTACTCTGGCATTTTAATGATGGAGTGGCTGAGCAAATGATTCAGCTCCTCCAAGCCTTAACTCCCTCTATAAAACTGGGAATAACAGCCAGGGACCAGTGGCTCATGCCTGTCATCCCAGCTACTTGGGAGACTAAGCCTGAGAATATCACAGTTCTAAGCCAACTTTGACATCAAAGTTCACAAGATTCCATTGCAAGAAAAAGAGTTATGCACAGTGCTGTATGCCTGTCAATCTGGTGTCAGAGGGAAGCATTATCAGGAGGGTTTGGGGCTCAGGCCAGCCCAGGCAAAATAAAACTTGCCTAGTAAATGCCAAGCCCTGAATTCAAACTCCAATATCACCCCAAAACAAAAGGAAACAAGCTGCAGTGGAGAAAACTGCATGTTGAACAGCTGTGACAGCTGGAAGCCCAAAGGGTTACAGATGGCTGCTCCTCATGGACACAGCTTATAAAGGTACTGTCTAGTCCAAACTCAGATATTTTGTTTCTGTGTGACCAGTGAGCCAGTGAAGCCTCAGTGGACTTCAGTGAGCGCTGCCCTGTTGAATTTGGAAAGATAGTAGATATGCAGTAGCCCCTAGGTACCTATAGTTAATCAGTCCTGTGAAAGGCAGTTATCATGGCTGAACAAGTGAATTTCTGTCTGCAATTTGATTAATGGTGACTAGTGGTCACTGTATGAACAAATAGTTCTAATTTGAAAACCACCTAGAAGTCCACCAGGAAACTGGAACCAGTGCTCAGAACTGAGGTCTCCTTCCTCTTCCAGCACTGCCTGACAGGTGGGCTCCACTGGGACTCCTGGGAAGAGGACATAGCTTTGTGGAAGGAAAAGCAAAAGCTTGACACAATGTCCCTGCGGGGGACATGCATCTCAAAGAGGAAATGGCAGCTCTTCCCTTATAAGGAAGCTTTCGTATGCCCCTCAGTTTGGGCTTGGAGCCTGCAGTACCAGGTCATAGAGAAGTGACATCCATGCCCTGGTGGCTTGTGGGGTGAAGAGAAAGTAGGCCTGGCATGTGTGCCTCTGCTTAGCATGATCAAGGATCTGGGGGATCAAAGCCCCCCTCCAAATGTGAGTTGAGACAGCGCCTCTAGTCTGTTTGTTATTTGACAGTTGAGGAGTCTCTATTTTATTCTTTTAAAAAAAAATTCTTGGCATTATTTAGCAAAACATATAATTGAGTGTCACAATGGAGTGTCGAGTTCAGATGTTTTTCTTTGTGCCAGATCTGCAGCGGAGGTTGAGCCCGGACAAGCACAGCAGAGTTTTTGATGTGGGTGGGAAAATGACATATGTAAGAAACAATCCGCTCCTGAACAGGCAGCTCCTGTCACCCCTACTGACAGCTCGTGGCTGTCTGCCAGCTCTGTCCTGTCCTCACCCCCCTCCTGTCCATGCCTGTGTCTGCCCATCTGCGAATGGTACTTTTCCATCCATATATCCTGCCCACCTTTACTCCCAAGCTGAACCTCTGCGCTTCCGTTGCCTGGGTCGACTCAGGGTATGGGGGTCTGACCCTGGAGCTCTTTGCAGGGCAAGGGGCTCAGACTGCTGCACTGTGCCCTGCTTCCTGAAGATGCTCAGGACTTTATACTCCCTCTCTCCAAGTCCTCATCCATTTCCAGGGAAATCCCTAGGTCTTTAAATTAGGAGGAGGAACTATTGAATCTCGTAGAATAATCTAGGAGCCAACTGAAGGCTTGATATGGTAGGTGTGTGTGTGTGTGTGTGTGTGTGTGTGTGTCTGTGTGTGTGTCTGTGTGTGTGTGTGTGTGTGGTGCACTAGGGATTGAATTCAGGGCCTTTTAACACTTGCCCTGCAAGCACTCTACAACTTTTAATTTTATTCTTGAGCTAGGATTTCACCAACTCTGTGCCCAGATTGGCCTTGAATTTGCCATCTTCCTGCCACCACCTCTCCAGGAACTGGGTTTACACCATAAACCACTTTGCCAGATTTATATTTTAGTTATGGTCGTGCCCTGTGGGGCTGTGTAGGTGACTTGAGGACTTACGTATTCACTGAGAAGGTAGCTTCCCCTGCGAGGATGGGCCCTGAATGGCAGAGACCCATTTTTAAAACTTCAGCCAATATTGTAGCACTGACTATGCCATGGGGTGGTGCTATTGTAACCAGGTTTCAAGGGGTGGCTTATTTCCTCCTGGCCACGCCTTTTATGGGGGCAGGGGGTTATTGTCATTGTCCCTGTTCTGCAAATGGAAAATTGAAGCTTAAAGCCTCAGTGGCTCTCTGAGAGCAAAAGGGCGGTGCTGTTTCCTGCTCAGGTTGTCTTACAACCTCTCCATCATGCCAGCCAACTCTTGGGGTACAGAGAGCTCAAGACAAAAAGTGCCCAAATTGACTTCTGACACAGAGTAGTGAGAATCT